TGGGGTTTTGGGGATCCCTGGAAGGGTTTGGGGTGTCCCTGTCCCCTTTGGGGTTTGGGGGTGTCCCTGTCACAATTTTGGGGGGTTCCTTCCCTCCTCAGTGTCGTGGGGGTGCGTTGTCACCCCCTCAGTGTCAGGGTGGGCGATGTCCCCTGAGTCCCCGCTGTCCCTGAGTCCCCCTGTCCCCCAATGTCCCCCAGTGTCCCCCCTGTCCCCGCTGTCCCCCCAATGTCCCCCCGCGTGTCCCCCCCAGATCATGCACGGGGGGCTCTTCAGCGAGGACGGGGTGACCCTCGATGACATCCGCAAGATCGAGCGGAACCGGCAGCCCCCAGACTCAGGTGGGACGGGGACCCCCCCGAGGTGTCCCCAGGGTGTCCCCGAGGTGTCCCCGAGGTGTCCCCAAGGCGAGGGGCTGGGCTGTGACCCCCCTGTGTCCCCCCAGGGCCGATGTGTGACCTGCTCTGGTCGGACCCCCAGCCCCAGGTGAGCTGTGACCCCCCCGGGGATGTCCCCTGCCCTGTCCCCATGTCCTGGAGATGTCCCCTGCCCTGTCCCCATGTCCTGGGAATGTCCCCTGCCCTGTCCCCATGTCCTGTCCCCATGTCCTGGGGGTGTCCCCATGTCCTGGAGATGTCCCCTGCCCTGTCCCCATGTCCTGGGGGTGTCCCCATGTCCTGGAGATGTCCCCTGCCCTGTCCCCATGTCCTGGGGGTGCCCCCATGTCCTGGGGATGTCCCCTGCCCTGTCCCCATGTCCTGGAGATGTCCCCTACCCTCTCCCCATGTCCTGTGCCCATGTCCTGGGGGTGTCCCCATGTCCTGGTGACATTCTCCATTCTCCTAATGTCCCCAATCCCCCCTGATGTCCCCGATGTCCCCAACGTCCCCATGTCCCCAGAACGGCCAGTTGGTCAGCAAGCGGGGCGTCAGCTGCCAGTTTGGCCCCGATGTCACCAATGTCCCTGATGTCCCCAATGTCCCCAATCCCCCCTGATGTCCCCCATGTCCCCAATGTCCCCAATGTCCCCAGAACGGCCGGTCGGTCAGCAAGCGGGGGGTCAGCTGCCAGTTTGGCCCCGATGTCACCAAGCGCTTCCTGGAGCGGAACCACCTGGAGCTGATCATCCGCAGCCACGAGGTCAAGCCCGAGGGCTACGAGGTGGCCCACGATGGCCGCTGCGTCACCGTCTTCTCCGCCCCCAACTACTGGTGAGGGACAGCTCGGGGACACCGCTGGGGACACCGCTGGTGGCCCTGGCTTTGTCCCCTGCGTCGCCTCGGTTCAGTGTCCCCAAGCCCGGTGTCACCTGAGCTGAAATGTCCCTTTGGTTTGGTCCCCAGTGTCCCCTGTACCTCATTGTCCCCTCAGTCTTGTCCCCAGTGTCCCCTGAGCCACGTTGGCCACTTGGCCTGGTGTCCCCAGTGTCCCCTGAGCTGAAATGTCCCCAAGCCCGGTGTCCCCTGAGCCACCTTGTCCCCAAGCCTGGTGTCCCCTGAGCACCTTGTCCCCTTGGTTTTGTCCCCAGGTGTCCCCTGAGCCACCTTGTCCCCAAGCCCGGTGTCCCCTGAGCACCTTGTCCCCTTGGTTTTGTCCCCAGTGTCCCCTGAGCCACCTTGTCCC